TAGATTAGAACCCAGTTTGATTTCTCTGACACTGCATTATTTTACATTTTACCAATAGGCTAGTTGACCCTTTTTGGAAAAAGGTTTTAAATTGTTAATAAATGTTCTATTAGACCGAAAAAAAATGTATTGTATTTTTTTGAGACCTAAAAAGCTACAAATCTTTAATTTTAAAATAGATTTTTCATGGACATACAAAAACGCTATCGGCCATTTTAGTCTATAGATTATCTATGCTATGACGTTAACTGCAGTAAACACATAGAGAAAGGTAAATAAACAAAAACTCGTAAGAAAATAACTGACTTTATAATAAAAAAAAGATGATTTCTATTAAATACCCCGAAAAATAAAGTAATTATCATTATTGTATTGTACGAGAATATAAAAACATATCCTTGAAGATTCCAGGAAAGTTGTGAATTAAAAGTGCCGAAAGAAATTAACCTACGCAACTTTATTACACTTATTCATATGTTGTATCAGTTTTATGTTTATTACTACATTGTAATACTAAATACACTGTACTTACATAGATGCCTTGTCGTTTCTCTGCTCCGCAGAGCAGAAATCGGGGTTTAGTGAAATAAATTCACCAACCATGAATACGTCAATTCTTGGCAGATTTGTGCTTTCTGTTTTCACAAAGCCGGCATCCATAATTAGTTTTTTCAAAAAAAACAGTAATCGGAAATTTTTCTTAAGTTAAAAGTGTTTTTATGATAAATTTAGTCAGACGAAAGAATCCACCCACAATAACACGCGAATGACATTTAGTTGTTTACCATATGAGACGTCGCAATCATGGCGGATGTGGCGAACAGCGTTTTTAGTGTTTAAAAAATATAGACCAAAAAATATTTTTTAAAATTAAATTTCTAAAGCAATCTTCTGCTTTTATGAAGTGAAATTGATATATTTAGGTTCCTTAGACCAAATACTTTATGAAATAAACATTTATTTAATACAATTCGACATGAGTCAACTAGCCTATTGTAGAGCCTGCCACAAGTACAAGTTCAATTTTCCAAGAATTAACGTCAGTAATAAATAGATTTCCCTTCTTAAAAGATGTATTAGATTATAAAATGTTAGTTAAATAATGGCGGGAGTATTGCCTGATGGAGATCGATGTGCAAAACAGTAAGGATCTACCAGCGGAACAATACTGGAAAAAAGTTTTCCAAATCCAGGATATTACCGGAAATGTGAAATACCCCAATATCCGTAAATTTATTGGAATGCTGTTGATTTTACCGTTTGCAAATGCTAGCGTGGCAAGAGTTTTTAGTAAATTGAAAAGGATAAAGACCGAAAGCAGAACCCGCCTCAACACCAACACCTTAATATCCTTAATGGTCACGAGTTCGGGAATCGAAAATGTTCTCAAGTTTGAGCCGACGAAGGACATGCTAGAAAAGAAATTAAAATATTGAAAAAAAAAATGGGTGCGTGTACTTATGTAGGCGCGTGAGAAGTTATCCTTCTTTGGCATCGTTTAAAATTAGTTTTTAATTGCGTGCAAATAATTAATTACAATAAATTAATAAAAAGTCTGGAAAAGGACGAAGTCAATAAAGTTCAGTTTTAATTTGAAAAAATAAATAAATAATCAAAATATTCAATTAAAATCGCTACTGAATATAATTTATTAGAACATATGTGATTTGCACTTGTATGAAACTCAAACACGTATTCCGAATATACAAACTAGAAACATGTGGATAAATATTATAAATATGAATACCTATAACTGTTACTTTATTACAAAAAATAAAGATGTGGTTTTTGGTTCTACTACACCAATAAATAATAAATAATAATAAATAAATATTTCCAACACTCACACCAATTAGCCTAGCCTCTAAGTAAGCACTGTAAGGCTTGTGTTATGGGATGCTAGTGTAACGGACAGAATACATATACTGTACATATATAACCTCCTGAGACCCCCGGTATCACCAGTGATACCTTTACTTTAATTTTTTTTAACGCCGTCCTTCGAAAAACTCAAGTAGATCGAAGTTTAACAGTGACTTTAGGGTTTTGTTTATTGTCTCCAACACCGGTCATTCGCTAGGTGTTATAATTAAAATTATTTGCGGTCAGTGCAAGATTGAAAATTGTGCATGAACCGACATGGCAAAATCACGTAAATGTAAATATTAGTTTTTGTTCAAATCTTTGTGTTTTTTTGTTTAAATATTATAAAATATATTGTAAATTTACCATTAGTGAAAATATTTTGTAAAAAAGTGTGATTGTTTTGTATAAATTTTGAGTTTTACTGCAAGTATCATAGGTGATACCTTGGGCAATCTGTACTATTTTTAGAATATTTTTAAGATGTAATGTCTGATCGAGAAATAAAGCAGATGATCAATTTCTACGAGTCAGATATAGAAAAGGAAGACAGTGATAAAGAAATAGACCTTGAAAAATGCCGAGAGGTATCCAACCAGGAAATTTCACTCGCAAATGAAGAGGAATGGAATGATTCGGAAGACGAACCTCTTTCATTTTACGCACACTTCCTCAATCCTTTAGGAACCTGATTTTATGATGGAAACACACGAGAAACTTTAGATTTTATTCCATACGAGGAATTGGACATATTATTCGACCCTAACATCATTGTCAAGAGTTCTCTAGATTACTTTTCTCATTATATGAATAACCGTTTGTTTGAAATTATGGCTAATTGTACAAATATTTGTAGTGTATCAAGAAGGGGCAAATCTCTGAATACAACGCCTGAGGAACGTAGACAGTTCTTCAGATGTCCAATAGCCATGATTGTGCTTGGTTTGCCATGAATAAGAATGTATTGGGCCTAAGAAATAAAATTCTACTACATAGCTAGCACAATTACTTGTAATCGATAGTTTCAACTAAGATCGAATTTAAAGCTTGTAAATGATCAATTAGTTTTACAACATACCAGACAAAACGACAATTTTGGAAAAAACGTCCTATTGTATTTGTAATAGAAAAGGGTTGGCGTGAAAATAAAAGAGATACTTTAGTTTCCATTGATGAGCAAATAATCCCCTTCACTGGTAAATGTAAACAAAAACAGAACCCAGAAGGCATAAAAGTGTTTCTAATGGCAAATTCCAATGGTATACTTGATCTTGGAGGACGTATTGCGCTCAAACTTGTAGATAATTTGCCTCCAGGTTCTACATTTTTTATAGATCGTTACCTAACTTCTATTTCACTTCTTGGCAATCTATTGGAAAGAAATATAAAGGCAACAGGAACATTAATGAAAAATCGAGTACCTGAATATCAACAGCCCAATACAAAGCAAATAAAAAAGGTAAATTTAAAAAATCAAAAAACCCGACTGCTTAATTATACTTCAAATAAAAACTGAAAAGAAAAAAACAAGTCCAGTAGTCTATAATTCTGTTAATAAGGAACAAAGCTACTTTAACAGTCGGGACCCATTAGATATTCAAGAATACATAATATTTTTCAACAGTGGGTCCCGACTGTTAAAGTAGCTTTGTTCCTTATTAACAGAATTATAGACTACTGGACTTGTTTTTTTCTTTTCAGTTTTTATTTGAAGTATAATTAAGCAGTCGGGTTTTTTGATTTTTTAAATTTACCTTTTTTATTTCACACTTTTTAGTTAGTTAGTATTTTAAGACGGTATATACCGTAGTCTTGTTACTTCAGTAAGGGAATTAATATCGCGGGAATTATTAAGTACCTTAAGACAGTCTAAAAATGAATCTAATGATACCGCATACATATTTTTTTAAAGGGAAATTTAGAAAAAATATTATTATGTCTTTATCCCGTGGGACTTTTAGGATAAAATGTATCCTATGACACTCCCGTAATCAAGACAAATCTAACGATACCTCATACATCAAAATCCATCAAGCCGTTTAGGCTACAGGAGGTCACAAAGGAACAGACATACATACATACTTACATACACTCCCTAAACATTACCCTCCCTCTTTGGCAGTCGGGTAAAAATAAGCGAGTATTGTTCAAATCTGATGCTATGTCACAAAAAGCTAGAAGAGGCAATTTCGATTGTATAAGGGATGACAGTAGGATAGCTGTAGTAAAGTGGTTAGACAATAAACCAATTTTTGGTATATTAACTGATGCAGCTCATTTCAAATCTCTCAATTTTTCAATTAAAGAATTCAAATTAAAAATAATAAGAGGAACAATTTTGTTTTAAGCTGATGCAGACCCAAGGTATCAATCGTGATACCATCCCTTACGTTAATTGGGGAGGGGGTGGATTTTTTTTTCTTGTATTTTAATAACAACTAGCGACACCTTGCTTTAAAAAGTAGCAATTGTAAAATGTGGTAATGTGTGGTACAGTTGTCTACCGTGTTGTGACGCATCAGAGAGCTGTCTGTTTCACACATTTAGTATGGTTATAGTGAGAAGTCGCTGTCGACACATCGCCACACACAAGTAGTTCTAACCGTACTAATAATGTATGAAACAGATCGCGTCACTAAACAACACGTAATATAAATATAATTCTGCCTTTATTTTAATATTGTATTACTGCAGTCGTCCCTTTTGTCCAAAAATCGTCCCATTTCAGCTTTCGATTCGTCCGAAACACGACGCAACACTGATAAGACGGCGCAGCGACACCGCTCCGGCGCCGCAACGCCGCCGCAACGCATCGTGTGCTCCCGCTCTCACGGGCGCTTTACGGCATAATATCCGCTAAAAACCCTGCGAATACCCTCTAAGCTGCATAGTTCGAAACCGCGGGATCCCCGTTTAGGGATTCTTCCGCGTCTGACCCCATCCCATACCCGTGGAGCCCTGGAAGTTTGCTCCTTTACATAAACACAATACCACTAAAAAGTAGTGTTATTTTACTGTAGTTTGTTAGTTGGAGGTTACTTCCCCAGAAAGACGTTCCAGTTCAAGCTGTGCCCTACCTCTCTTGATCTGAGTTTTAAAGTCACTCGAACTTTTTAAGTACTTTATTATTCCCTTACCCTGTCTATTTATTATCCGGAAATCATCTTCAGGAAGTTCCCCTTTACTGAGCACGCTGAGCAGCACCACCATGGCGACCGCGTACATTATGTGAGTCGCCATTTACACTAACATTCTGTAACAATGAAAAGATAAATTTTAATCTATGGTAAAAGCACATCAACGGGTAACCCCATTGAACAAGTTTTAAGCGTAGCTAAATTCTTCATCCATGTGTAAGCTACTTTACAGAAACTACCGTCACACCTACTTCCTTAGAACAATATTAATCCCTTTGAGATTTGGCTACATATTTTAGACTTATAGCTTTGTTGCACTTGCTCCAAATTATTTTCTAGATTCATAACTTCGTGAGAAATCCACAGACTGATAGAACGCTCTGCTGATATTAACGCCTGGTGTATGTGAATAACCAAAGAATACTTAACAAGAAATAAATCTTATTTGGAATTATTATTATTATTCAAAAACGGTTTTAACTCCACGAAGATAGCGTAGCTGGTGGGGGGGGGGGGGGGGGGGGCAATGAACTGACCTTAAATTACCATTGTCCTACCTTGAAAAATACCACCCACTTAATGTGATTGAACTAATTTTGGTGGGGGAGGGAAGTGCAAATCCTATTTTTAATACAACTCTGCATGAAGATTACGACCGTAACCGCTTACAAAGAAAGTCTTTGAATCATTCGATTCAAAAACACTCATAAAAAAAAATGGTTGCCTGTAAAGTCGGTTTTACGAGCTAAGATTTTACGTGACAACGTCTTTTTCTCGGTAGAATATTTATTGATATGAATATAATTAAATTGCACAATAGGAACAAGGAATTGAATGAAAATAAGAATTGCACAAATTTTAACTATAGAAATATATTTTGTTTACTAAAACATTGTACATGTAAACTTAAACTTAACACGAGAGACTCATCGTAACGTTACCGAGCGTTACACTTTTTCATAAGTGACTCCCAGCCGCAACCTAATTTAAGACGTTGTCACGTCAAAAAGGTATCGAAATAGCACTATTCTAAATTCGATATCGAATTTCAAGAACTTCATTAGTAAGACTACTTAGCTATGAACAACGTTTGGGTCCGTACCATGAACTCATAACTTTATTCAAAAGCAGCTTAGCTTAGCGTTTGAAGCGAGACACAACTTAGTCTGACTATAGTAATTTAATCACTTATCTATTCCGTGAATTTCACAATCGGAATGGAGTCGCGTTACGTAATAGTGCACCGATCTCATTTAACCCATGACCTCAGACAAAACGCGGAACATTCATAAGATCCAAAGATTTATTTTTTTCTCAATAAGTACCTACTTTTTTTCTATTTGCGATCAAGTTGATTTCAGTTACGTCAAAAAGTCAAAACAGCGGTGTTAAATTTTATGCAATACAACGATGAACTTTACAGCGTTCAGAAAAGTTCACCTTTTTCTATTTAAGACTAGCCGTATTGCTGTCTGCAGTGTAATCGGATGAAATAATGACTAACATTTTAGAAGTGAAACTTCTTTTTGAAATGGAAAAGTCTTACGGGAAAAGATATATATATATATATGTTACCGGCCAAACCCGATTTCAGGACAAACTAGTTTTGCCTAGGCTAAACTACTTCTTCCTATACGCGATAGGATTAACTAGTATAGCCTAGTTCAAACTAATTTGTCCTAAGCCCGATAGGATAAACCAGTTTAGCCTAGGCCAAACTAGTTGATCCTGATATAAATATGCATACTGTAGGATAAACTAGTATGGCCTAGTCTAAACATTATAGTATATCTAAAAAGTCAAAATAAATAGATAAACTGAATAAAATACTCCGTAATTGGAAAATAATATTTTTTTATTAAAACGATAATGATTCATCGTTAAAAGTTATGGATAATTAGTGATATAAACAATTATACTATAACAAATAATATGTGTTTTTTAATAGAAGCAATAATCATATCTCAATTATTAAATTTTTTATTTAATTTTACATGGTGTGCTTTGGTGGCACTTAGAATTGCAGAGTATCATTGCCTTCTTGCCTCCTTGAATTGCAGAGTATCATTGCCATCATTGGCATCTCTTTGTGGCACATTTTTGTTGCAGCTGCATCTCACAAAACAAAAGGCCCATTACTTGTATGTGCAAGTGTACCCATGCGCATAAACACTCCCTGCACTTTCTTCCAGCGTTCTTTTTACATGACGCGACCTGTACAAGTCCTGACATGTTTGTTCAATTACTTTCGACTCTGCTAAATTGGTTTAGACTAGGCCGTACTAGTTTATCCTAGAGTGTGAGTATTTATATCAGGATAAACTAGTTTGGCCTAGGCTAAACTGGTTTATCCTATCGGGCTTAGGACAAATTAGTTTGGACTAGGCTATACTAGTTAATCCTATCGCGTATAGGAAGATCTAGTTTAGCCTAGGCAAAACTAGTTTGTCCTAAAATCGGGTTTGGCCGGTAACATATATATATTTCCGACGAGCATGAAAGTTGGAGGATTAGTACAGCAAAAAATAATCCTTATGATTAACCCTTTCGATAGTTATCATAAAATAAGCGTTTTTTTTTTCGAAATTTCACGAGTTTGATTCCCAGTTGTAGCAAGCGTTTTTTAAAAAAACTGTGAATGCAGTTCTAGTTATAATTAAAAATAAAATGATGTCTTCTTTCGGTAAAATATCCTATCTTCAATATTTAATATACTTTCTCTCCGTGTGAGGTAGCCGTGGGACGCCCTGTATACCTATTTACCTCAAAAAATTAGTATAGTTTAGTGTCCATAAAGACATTAGTATTCTCGCTATCTAGTATCACTAATGGGACGGAAAGCTTGCACAGTTCGTTAGGTTGGTTCAGATCAAACGAGGCTCGGCGCAGCTGTCAACGGGACATCGCCCCGGCGTCGTTTCTCTGACCCGGATAAAACTAGGCATAGTAATATAATAGTTCTGCACAACGAAATCTATACCCATGCCATGCATATTTTACTAGCTTTAGCTCGCCAATGCCTTATATGGTCATAATGCACAGGCGGTTAGTGCGGTGTTTAAGGTTATATTAAAATATTGAATGGAAACTACATGTCTTTTGATTAGATGGCATTTCAAATTGATTATTTATTATAGTTACTTACATGCTTCATGCAAATATTGAATGGAAACTACGTGTCTTTTATTATAGCTATTAACGGGATTGTTACCATGTACCTTGTTTTTTATAAACAATAGCGTGCCGAATGAAAGAACACATAAAATCAGTCAGAAATAATGACACGCAAAAGTTAGCCATCGCGGAACTTTTAATTGATTCGGGTCCTAATCACTGGATTGAGCTCCATAATCCACAAATTATCTCGACAGAACGCCACTACATACCAAGATTGGTCAGGGAAGCGATTGAAATAACCAACCACAAGAATTTCAATCGTGAGGATGGGTTTAAATTGTCAAATGTCTGGAATCCAGTGGTTCGTATGTGTAAAAACAGCAAAAATCAAAAAAGTGTCGTTCCGCGATATGATACTGTAAGTATTGTGTATAGGGAACAAGTGCGAGTGAATAGTGAGAATGTGACCAGTGGTAGGGGTATCAAGCGCAGTAAAAGACGACGTCAGAGGGTAGACCGATATGTCTGCCAATAACATCTACCCGCAATTACTTCAGTTACTCCGTGATCATGGCGATTGCAACAGTGCCGAAATATCGGAGAATCAAAAAATACAAGGTACATGATAACAATCCCGTTAATAGCTATAATGTTAGTGACCATGAAAGTTTAAAACAATATACGTGTCTTTTGATTAGATGGCATTTCAAATTGATTATTTATTATAGTTACTTAAATGCTTTTAATAGATTTTATTGTGTTATATTTTCTATTTACCTAATGCTGGATTAGGGGTGAAAAAACCCGTTTTAAATGCAATAACTCATTATATTTAGAAATATAATGAGTTATTTCGTACTAGAATGAGTTCTGTACTAGAAGTACAGATAGTAAAATCCTATTAAACACATATTTTATCTTAACATAGTTTTATGTTTTGTCTAGTATTAGTGTAGTTTTAATTTAATATTTAAATTTAAATATTTATTTTTTTATTTTTACATACTTTAGTTTAATGTCAGAAATAGATTACCTGTAAATAAATGATATCACCATTAAACACATATTTGCAAACTGTTGTAGGCAACTTGGCAAAACTGACAACTTGTCACCATTGTTTCCAGGCTACATCTTGGACGACATTGAAGAATGGATCTTAATGAAAATCACTTTATGCTGTGACTGTTTGACGACCTCCGTGGCCGAGTCGTTTGTACGCCGGGTTTCGTGGTGTCGCCAACTCGAAAGGTCCCGGGTTCGAATCTCGGGGAGGGCAGATGTTTGTGTGATGAATACGAGCGCTTGTACTCCAGTCATGGATGTTTAATATGTAATTCTATATAAATATACTTATATATGTACAGTATATGTATTCCATTCGTTACCCTAGTATCCCATAACACAAGCCTTATAGTGCTTATTTTGGGGCTAGGCTAATTGGTGTGAGTGTTGTAAATATTTATTTATTTGAATGCCTAATGCAACATACGAAAGTTTTAGAAACAGTAATGGAATTCAATTAAGATGTCGTAACAGGTCGGTGAAATAATCTCAGCCGGAGCTGAACTATTTCATAACACTGAACTCTGTAACCGATAAATAATACTATTACCGAACGTTCTTGTTACTACTAAAATATCTCAAGTAATACTCATCGTACAACTGGATGTGGCACAGGTAAATGAAACATTCAGTAGGCGATCTTTGGTTAGAAACTTGCCTATTTTGCGCACTATTATTATATATCTATCATTGATCACCATTATTAACTTAACATTCGGTGTCGAGACCCTTAGTCCGTGGGGTCCTAGCGCTATAAGATTTTTTAAAGAATCACAGGAGACCGAAGAGCTGGCAGCTACCTCGGACAAAGAATTAGTCTAGCTATCCAAAGGGGGAACGCTGCCAGTATCTTCGGAACCTTGCCTAAAGGGACTCCTTTTAATAATGTATTTTAGTTATTAAATTTTATTTTTTAAGGTTTTTAGTTTTAGTTTCG